TGGTTCAGTAGATTACAGAGTGATAACCATCATAGATGCCCCAGGAATGGAAAAAGGGAGGGTCACACTCAACCAACAGAGTGAAGAGAGACATACAATAACCCCACACAGGGAAGCTGAGAAAAGAGAAGAGAGAGAATATTCAACCCGTAAAAGAGCTGGCAGAAATAATGGCATTATGAAAAAAAAGAGAAAGTCTTGTGCCTGCCCTGGATCGCGTTAAATGGGCTTGTTGTCCTTCAGTTTCTGTCATCTAAACTTCAGATGCATGCCTTTTCATGCATTTTCTTGATAAGGGAAACAACGGGTCATTATATCTGAAAACAGTTAGTACCAAAAGAATGCAACTGAACCAAACTGAGTGAGACAAAACGGCCTTTAGAGAATCCTGTGAATGTGACCGTTGTGAATATCATCTGTCTGTTATACTGTGGTGGAGACAATGAAGACAAACCAATTACAGTGACACTCATACAGCAGATATTTGTTTGGAGATAATAAAACAGTGCGTCTTCTGTATACATACATCAGCTAGTATTGACAAACATTATTAGGTCTTATGGGAAAAGTCCCTGTATGTAACAGGGCAGGCTGGCCAACAGGAACAGACGGGCTCGGTGAGGTCAGGAGTCACTGACCTCTCGATGGATTCTAATGAACTCCTGGGGGTCACCTTTCGCCCACAGAGGCAGCTCGACATCTCCCAGAGCTGTACCATCCTCCATACAACCTAAAGCGATACAGATACACAATAAATACAGTCTGCTGCATCACATCACATCACTTTGTGTAGTTTAAAGATACACCGTGGAGTCTTTTGCCACTGGAGGCACTATGGAGCAACGTTTTGATGAGTGGTGTCATCTGTGTGCTCGACAAGCTCATGCACATACATTAGAACCTGAGTGATGACATTCACATCCCTGCCAACAGCTTCACATGATAACACTGAATGACAGTTGCTGGTGGAAATGTGCCAAGAGGCAGAACACACGAGCAAAAAGCAGGAAAGAAGAAGCTAGCCCATGCGAACAGTACAAGTTGTTTTGGGGTTTTTTCCAATGCTGACTTTGACAATGTTTTATGAGGAAGAAAATTCATTTAGCATGTTTTTAAGGCCGCACAGATAAATAATATGTTTTCCTTCTTAAAAATTAATTAATTAATATAAAGAAATAAAAATCACAGAATGTAACCATATTGGTCTTTAAAAGAAAATCTAGCCTTTAAAGCATATGGATGATGATATTGTATATGTTTATCACCAAATACTGTTTAAAGAAAACAGGCCTTTTCCTCTACCATGCACCTCCACTGATCACTCATCAAACACACCACAATGTAACAATCTGATGTTCCCTCATTACCATGAACATGAGCAAATTTATGCAGCAGTGAATGCCAAGATTTAATCAGATGAACTGTGGTGTAAGTGTGATGTTGCTTCTGCATTGTTCTTCATTTAAAAATGTGTTTCCTGCTAATTAAGGTAATAAGCATACTAATTAAAGAACGTATTAATTAAGTTAGGTTAGTTAAGGTTTTTACACCAGCGTGCTTGCCTTTGCATGCAGCATATCTGGTATAAATATGGACCAATTAGCCAGAACCTTTAAGGAGTTATTGCAAAGTCTGGGAAATCAGTGTTCCCTCATGTGCAAATTTCTGCAAGAAGATGCTTCAAAATCTAATCAGATCATGTGCTCCACATGGAGTTTATGTGACATTTAAGTGTTAAGGCTTAACTACGCATCATTCCTGGGTTGTTGTGTTTACAAGAATGTGTCTACAGAGTCACATCAAATTCCAGCAAGACAACAAAACGTAGCACATACCATGTACCATAATGGCAGAACATACACGATATATCATAAATTTACTATATAAAAATAGCCACAACATTAAAACCACTGGCAGGTGAAGTGGAAACACTGATCAATGCAATGTTCTGCTGGAAAATCTTAGGTCCTGGCATTCGTGCAGATCTTTATTTTGACACATACTGCCTGCCACTGCCAACATCCTGGTGCCAGACCTCACAACACAACCCTGGTGGTGGTTTTAACGTTGTGGCTAAACAGTGTATGCCTGGGACCAAATTTACATCTTCTAGAAGCAAACAGACATGGGAGTGAGAGAAACAGACAGGGTAAAGAAGTCAAACATAGTGTTGACTTTTCATGGTAATTGTTGACAATAAGGAAAATATAGAACAATGATATCCTTTCCTTTAAGTACTCAACTAACAAACATGATTGTATGAGCTAAATATAGAATTGTAGTGGCTGACCAAACTGGATGTGGTTGGAGTTGAGCAGAAAGTCAGGCAGGTAGAAGAACTCTGGGATCAGCTCTCTGACGTCTCCCATGTTGTCTCTGGAGGCAGACTCCCACTCTTTCTTTAAGCTGTAAAACATCCGCTCTGGGATATCAAACCCTCCCTGCGAGGAGACCAGACAACAACACTGTCAGACACCCAGCACACTGTTAAAGCAAACTTTGCAAAAAGGCATATTAATAAAGTAGTCTGCCTGATCCAGTGTAGGGAACCATATTTTACATTCTTCATTGTATTATGTAAGCAAGAAATATTTGCTACTATTAGAAGGAAGCTTTTCATCTTTCTGTAAAATTCCATAATTTTGATGGAAATCTCATGAGAGAGAATGTAATTTAGAGTAAAACAATTACCTCAATGAATGAAAATAGCATATATACTGGTAAACTCGGTTAGAGATGTAAATCCAGTTATGGATATTACTACACACCCGTTATGTGCTTCAGAAGACAAAAGGCATCCTAATTCACCAGACTAACATCTTTATTGCTTTATTCTGACTATCAAATATGCATGCCTTTTCATTATAATCAACTGGATGCTGTATTGTAAATTGGTAACATGTGGCTATTTGCATTGGCTTCTTTTAGATGCTTTCTGTAATTATTTGCATATATATTAAAATCTCCCTGTAATCTGCTTTCATACCAAAAACAGCACCGAAACAGGAGTGTTGAAAATAGCTCATATTAGATTCATATTATTAGCAAGATTATATTTGAAAATAAAAAAATGAAAGTGATGAATGTCATTGTGCCCTGGAGCACTGGGTCTGCGCAAGGGCCTGTGGGTGAGTGAAAAAAGACTGATGCACAACAAACTTTTTTCAACATCTTCAGAAAAAAAAATCAAGGGAAAACTTGTAGAACATGATACACATTACACCTTCATCATTCCTAATTTTTGTATGGGCCAGTGAAGGAATCTTCAGATCTTCAGCTTATAAGAAGAAACCAGAAAAGGAAAAATAATGGCACTGACCATCTTCTGCAAGGTGCTGCAGCTCCCAGACGTTCATCCTGTCATCACTCAGTAACTTAATAATTCTGATCATGCTCAGCTTTGTTATGAGCACTGCTGATGCTCAAAATGTTTGTTGTGATTTATGCATGAAGTTATGCAGCCCAATAGGCAGGATTATGTCTGTTTACCAGAACTCATCTGTTTAGTGTTAAACTTTGGCATGTAATGGTGAATCATTTACACAGAGATTCCTCCATCACTGCTCTATTCTAAAGAAGAACTTTGTTTCTTAATTTTTCTTTTCTCTGGAAGTAGGTCAGCAACAGTTCAGGCCTGTTTTTTTCCCCCCTCATAGCCAGTTTAATCAAAGGATGTTTGTTACATTTCCTGGTGTCCAGGGCTTACCTGCAGTGCCTGGAAGGTGTGTGAAAATGGTTCCATCCTGACGAGGAAGGAAGCCACAATGATGGCTGAGGAGTAGTGGGTACAGTAGTGGCATCGTGCTGACAAGTCTGTTACAGAGTGAGCCATTTAGCAGAGCAACCAATAAAAAGTACAGTCATAAGCACAGATGATGAAACTAAAAATAGGGCTGAACAGATACCTTCATCTTCATTGTTCTCCACTTCTTCATATCTCTGGATGAACATCTGCTTCCTTTTTTCTGTCTGAGCTCCCATTGGCTTCGACAAATCACGAAAACTCGCAGGATTCGACAGATCAAGCGTCTATCAGAGAAAGAGATATTCAAACCTGTAACACTTTACTCCAGTCTGTGCAACATGAATGTTCAACACAAAGATGTCATGGGTGAGAGTGTACCTCTGACTGATAGTCAGCCAGGACCCAGGGGAAAACTGGATATTGCATCAAGTCATTGTACGTCCTCCCAGCGATTGTGTTGAGATGCATCAAGTACTCAAAGTTACTTATCTCCCCTTTCTAGAGGAGAGACAAGGAGAATATGAAGCAGATAAAGGCCTCTTTAATACAGCGATATAGTTATGAACAAATCTAGAACTTGATTACTATCATGTAGTGATTTATTACTGATATCAAAGGAGGGAGAACTGAATCTGTGAGCACAAACAACTCAAACAAAAGGACACGGCAAAGAGCTGCTTTTATTGCTTTACCTGCCATTTAACAAGGGCCGTCTTTTCAACCACAGGAGTCTTCCTAAAGCACAATGAGAGTAAACACCTTGAATTAGCTGCAGAGTTTCATCACTGAGCACAGCTCACCAACACAAAGTTTTGTGCTTGCACTGTTGCCTGGCAACCAAAGTTGAACTGTAACAGCAGTGTGGAGGTGAGTGAGTGACTCAGGAAACAGAAAGCGTGTGTACACAGCTGTAGGAGCAGTTATGGGATTGAGGTGAGCTTCAGTATGCAGCAGAAACAGTGAGTAGATATGTGGAGGATGCAGCACGTGGTGCCATCTGTAGGCTGTGAGGAAAAACAGTTGACTGCAAGTTGTCGTAGTAGTCTACAGACCGAGGTGTTTGGAAAAGGGAGCAAGATATTTCTTTGTGCAGTGATGTTTTGAAAGGGCCTGTTTTGACATGTGGCATTGATTCTCACAACAGAGGTTAATGATTACTGGTTAAACAGGAACAGGAGCATATTGTTACATTTCTGTGAGATTTCCTGCTTCATAGACAATCAAGAGTTTAATATCTAACTTGGTACTAGCTGTGTTTTTCATTTGGTTAGGTGTTTGTTCATATAAACATTCATTCAAATAGAGGCATACATGACAAACCAGTGAGAGCAAAAACCGCTAAATCAAAATACCTTCTTTCCAATCAGTCTATCAGAAATCTACCAATCTAGTGACTAACCGAACAAAACATCCACACTAAAGAACAGCGTTGCTGAACACTCCAGTAAGCATTTTACTCGTGGAACACATGAAACATGTTTAATCTAAATGAGGAAAGTGATCAACTGCTTCTGAAATCTCCTTTCCCTCTGTGGGCCAGTAACACGGCAATAAAGTCCTGGCGCCAAGCACCTCAGTTGCTAAGTAACGCTATTAAACAAGAGGAACCTTGACTGTCCCTACATGGTGACGGGAGGCTAGTCAAATGTTGATATACACAAACGGTGCACTCCTCATCTTTTCTCTTGCCTTCACCACTACATTTGAAAGGACCACCAGGTACTACAGCTTTTACATTCTAAACAAATTGTAAATGTATTTTTAACATGTTTTCTTTCTTTCTTTCTTTTTGTACAGGGGTGAGAGCCTTTGAGATGAACGGCCAGTTTTACAGGCGCTAAAGCTGCTCTCGTGTCTCAAAAACTGAAGACAAACTCATCCATCAATCCAGAATAAAGGGGATAAAATATGGTGAGTACATAACTTTTTCCATGTTCAAAATCTGGATAAAAGAATATACTATATATTAAGATGAAGTAAGGACACATATAGCAAATGGGTTTAAAGGATGAGGGGCTACTTGAAGTGAATCCAGTTTCTAACACCGATAACTCCTGACCAAATTATTTTGTAAAACTACACTAAATCAATCATTGCATTTGGCCCAGTATGTGTTATCTAATTGCAGGCAATAATTTCATGCAATAGTTTTCTATAGGAGGTTATAATGGGAACAAGCACTAGTGGATAACCTCTCTCATCCTGAGGATGATGAATGAGGCGAGAGAGGGCCTTGGGGTGTAACACAGACACAAACAGACACACACCTTGCTCTTTTAGACAGGGAGGGGAGAAGAGCGAAGCCCTCATTACACTCCCAACACTCCCCAACTATCATTTATCAAAGTCCTGATTTGACTCCTTGTGCGCACACACGTACTGTAGTACAGTACATCCATGTCTGTCAACACACTTGCATGTGAACGTCCCACACACAAAAACACACACACACACACACACACCTCTCTTGCCTGAAAAGAGCCAAACAACTCAATCAGTTGAATGCTGAGGGAGCATCAGCACTCATTTGTTTTTGCTGTATTACCCAGTGTCGCCTCTCTCCTATTGTTCCCCTGCATTAGCCTTAATTAGAGAGTCGTGCTCTTAAATACCCCCATGGGCAACACTGGGTGAGCATGCACTAGTGCAGACACAACACTGCGACACACACGCACGCACACACATGGAGACACACACGCTGCTCAGGCTCTCATTCCTCAGAGAGCATGCTTTCCCCACTGCCCCAGGCCATACATAAGACCTTGTATCTGAATAAATCACATCAGCCTTGCACACACATACTTACACATGAACATATACACAACACATTTATTTGCTATAGCGCTGTGCGTGGTGTAGATTAGATAAATTATTGTAAATCAGCCTCTTGGGGAAAGTGTCAAAAAGGAAGCTTTTAAACTGAACTATTTGGTAATTCTCTGTGCGTTGCAGTACCATGCCCAAAAGAAGAGGAGCCAAAGGCACAAAGGTGACCCTAAAGATTGCCAAAAAGGCAATACGGATGACCCCAGATGGACTGTACAGACTCACCCTTCGCAACATGGGTTTAACAGTCTTCCCAAAATGCCTCCTCAAACTGGCCAACGTTGATGAGTTAGACCTCAGCTGCAACCTCCTACAGAAACTCCCAGATAACATTGGGAACTTCTTGTCGCTCAGATGGTTGGATCTACACAGCAACAAGCTGGAGTCTGTGCCCGAATCCATCGGCAATCTGGTGGGACTGACCCACCTCAACCTCTGCAACAACCGCCTAACCTCTGCAGGTGTACCCTCCACACTGGGCTCCCTCACCAACCTGAAGAGTCTCAATCTAGGAATGAACCAGTTGGACACTCTGCCTCCAACTTTGGCGGCCTTAGACGGCCTCCGAGAGTTAGGCCTCTTTGATAACAACTTCATCAAGATGCCAGAGTTTGTGAAAGTCCTACACAACCTCACCAAGGTGAATATAAAGCAAAATCCTCTAGCGTATGCTCAGGGGGATGATGAGCGGATGCTGAAGAAAAAAGCAGAGCCAAAGGAAGGAGTGTACCTGGTTCATGAGAGCAACCTGTGTACCACATGCCTTAAGAGATGTAAAGCAGAGAGGGAGAGTCTTATGACAGAAGGAAGGAGAGGAAGAGGACGTTGTAGTGGTGACATTTTTGAGGAGAAAAGGATAAGAAGTTATTCTGGACTGATGGCACCAAACTCAGTAGCCAAAGTCAGTCAGGATGTGTGGAGAATAAGACAAAAGGTGGAATACAAGAAAATCAAATGACCAGGCAGCTGCTAATGTCATCATATGAAGTACCAACAATTGGTACAATTTGATTTATATATATATATCATACTTGAACTGATGAAATGAAACAAAGGATTTCTCCACATATTTCTACAAGACTGTAACAAACTGACACTTACTTGGCATTAGCAATGACCTCAGCAACCCCTCTGCCTTTTAATGCCGGTACTACAGTGCTCAACCTGCATGGAGAGAGAGAGGGGAAAGATCAGGGTTAGGACGCCTGAAATAAAAACCTTTCGACATCAAGTACGTATAAGTGTGGTACCTTTTGTATGCAGAGACGTGGTCTTTATTCAGGAATACCAGGAAGGCTGAATGCCCATTTTTCATGAAGATCTCGATAGCATTGTCCTTAAAGGAAGACAGGGGCACAGTGTCTTTTTAGCAACTTAGATGCAATGACATTTGTTTCCAGTTTATATTTTGGCACATCAGATTCTTTTTAAATCTGAACTTAATATGAATCTTTAATATTTTTCTTTATTTCACACGCTTAATCAAGTAATGGATATGCAAGATCCAATAAAATGCTAAACAAATCAAATTTATATGTGTGCACATCAAATGTGGCAGTATTCCAACTAAAAGTGAAAATTTAAGATGCATGTTGACTCAAGGCGTCTGTGGGAGCATTTCAGTGTCTGACCTCTAAGAGGAAACGCATGAAGCGAGCCTCCTTGATATCCTCATAGAGCCAGCATCTGCAGCTGGCTGATGGCGGCTCTTTACTCAGCATGGTGGAAATAAAGGAATCTCTCACGCTGGCAGAAAAGGGACATAGAGGATGATGAATGACTGACTGACAGAGCTGAGGAACTATGCTTTTCAGTGCTGCAGTAACTGCAAACAGCTGTACAGCGCACACACGCACACAGTCGTACCTGCTGGGGTGGTGCTTCCTGCAACAAACATCTCCAGTCGGACTGAGAGTAAATCCCTCACACAAGAGCAGGCTCTCCTTCCCAAACAGCAGCAAACCTTCTGTGACTCTGAGGCCACTCGCTGTCACTACACACATCTTAGCTTTTACCTACAGAGAGAGAGAAGAGAGATGCATTAAGCCCCATGTGAGACGAGCAATACACATCAGCACGTTTCTCTCTCAGGACATGACATGGCAGCAACACAGGCACTTCAGGCTTTACTTGATTGATCATTTTAATCACATATTTTAATCATTATTAAAAAGACACAGTTGAACACTTCATTATCAGAGCTGATTGATGGGGAGGAGTAGGAACACTCCCCCTTTATTCAGCATCGCTTCATCCAGTGCCAAAGTGAACCCACATGCTGCTTTCAGCGCTGATTGTAGCTAATGCTAACTGCATTGTGATAATGCGTGGATAATTCTATTGTCTCCCCTCATTTCACAATGAGTGTGTGCACCTGGCTGTCTCCCCGTGCTGGCCCCTCTGCAGGCCCTCTGGGACACAGCGCCCAAAAACCATATGGGGCCCCAACATCACCGCAGGCCCCTCACAATTTATACTAATCAAATCAGACTCCCTTCGCCCCAGACACAGAGTCACACACTGGGTGGAGGAGGAGGTCCTGCCTGACCATTATTAGAGGAATTAATCACTGCCACACACACAATAGGAAACCTGATAAGTGATCAGAACCTCTTGTGTGAATGCACACAGAGTCATGCTATGAAGGATAATATCACTCGTCATGTGAAAGTGTTTCTGAAGAGTCAAGGTGAATGACTCTCAGCTACATGCTACAGAAATCTTACATTGAGCAATATCATGGTCAGATTTTGCCAGTTTCCTTCAGTGAATACAAACTGGCATCAGGCCTATTGTCCCTAATAATGACTAGATTTCAGAAAAAAACTAGTTGAATTTATTGTTATCAAAGATTAAATACGCAACAATAAACTTGTTTCCTTATCTTCTTACTGTGCTGTGGACAGATACGCGTTATCAGTCTGAGGGTGATTTAGCTGATGATGGGAAGAAGGAGAGAAAAGGAGGACTTTTATTGACTGAGAGCCTAATGTCAGACCATTGATTTCTCCCCACACACATTATTGTCATAATCACACTATTGGCGCTGGCAAGCTAATTATGAGTGAGTCTCCCTTTGTGTGTTACTGCATGTGTGTTTGTGCTAGCCTTGTGCGTGTGTGTGCATTTTTCAGAGCTAATGACTGTGTTCACTTGACAGGAAGCTCAGCAGGACTCATGCACTGAACCACTGCAAGACAACAGGACACACTTGCACACATCACACACTTGCTAAGCGGATGTAAGACAGCTTGCATCACCTCCTACTGTTTTTATTAATACTTCTGTCAGAAACATTAAAAGCCGCGGCTGGTTGCCGGAGCGATGAGAGTCCCTGTCAACATGTGCACTGGTTTCTAACTCACTGTAAGAATGAGAAGAGCTGTGCTGGGCCTCAACATTAAAACATTATACTAATGAGGAAAGATGAAATTCTGATAGCAGCGCTGGGCTATTGGAATCCCTTAGTCTACATCAGATAATTATGATTGTGAATATTAGTAGGGTGGGAAGGAGCTGCGCTTCTTATTTAGGCATTTCGTTTTCAGCCCAGCATACCAACACACACTGCGATGAAACAGTACCTCTTCTCCAGGGTGCAGCTCTTGCAGGATGATGCGTATGTCGGGGCAGTCTTGTGTGTGGGAGCAGGGTTCAGGAGTGGAGGGGTCGGGTACACCCTCAGTGACAGCAGGTGTTTCACTCAGAGCAGGGAAGAAAGTGAGACGGTCACAATGCTGACCTCCATCCTCTTCATCCTCTTTAACCTCTGCACCGACCTCACACAAGATCTTGGGCTCTGTTATAAAGAAAGTTATTTTATCCAACAACCCATTTCTGATACAAGTAAAATCCAACAAATCAACAGGAAACCACTTTCTTTACCTGTGTCCACTTCTATTCTGCTTTTGTTCTCTTCAGATACGCCAGATCTTAAACCGAGACACAGTGTTCCAAACACCTGTTTTAAAAACACATGTTAAAGGATAAGCTAAAGGACCTTGCTGCACAGATCTTACACTAAACTGAAATGCTTTACCCGTTTGGATCTTTTCAGAGCCTTTCTGCGGATGCGTGATCTGGTGCGATTGGGTCCTTCAGCTGCGTCTTGCACCCAGTCTTGACTCAGCAGCACCCCTGGGCCTGGGCCGAACACGGCTCTCTCTCTCAGCAGCTCGGCCTCCACATGCAGCCACTTGGAGCTCACACGCTCCCACTCACTGGCTCGTAACTGGAACACAGAAACAAACCGGAATAGATGACATTATTACAGATCCCATTTTGACTTTTTAATAACATTTATTTTAGTGTATTCATGTAAAAATTTCCATCAAACCTGTAAGTGGTTTGTCCTCATATTCTCATACATGCTGTGGCCTCTTTGTCGATGTGACTCCATGCAGGACAGAAACTCCTACAAAAAAAAACAAAAAAAACAAGAGCAACCTGATGGGTGCAAATGAAAAGAGGAGCAGCACAATCGCTCTTTCCCCGAGCTCATATTGTACACACACAACACACATCATGTTCACAAAAATTGTATATGCATAATGGTATTGTTGTTTCCTCATGCAATTACAATACATTCATACAATTACATCTGTTCTAAATTGCATTCACTGGGCAAAATAAGCTAGTGGCTACAGTCTTACAATAACCCTGTCTGGAAATGTAATCATTTGTTGGTGTGATCTAATTAACATAAACATTAATATCACTGAGCCACACCACAGTCAAGGGCAAGGTAAGTGTGCGTCTATGCTTTTACTGTGTGCGGCTCAGTGTTTATTTGTCAATTAAAAGAGAAAAGAAATGAAAAAATAGAAAAACCCAAAACAGAATCGTGTTGACACTGCAGGATGCTCATGTTCAGCAGACACTCTGGGATCATATTCTGACTGTTAACTGCTTCATTAAGCCCATCATCACAGCAGTGCTCGCTGAGAGACTAGTGAAACAACATGTGTCCATCCTCACAGCTGACCCAGGAAAGCCATTTAATTGACTGAATGAACATGCAGTAACTCTTTATATCGAGTCTTATTTACAGATGCTAATTCTGTGTTTTGCAGTATAAACCCCCTGAATGGAATAATTGATTTCAAGTACAATAAAAAAAGACAACAACGGCTTCTGTATTACAAGAGATGCAAAAATTTGAGATAATTTCAGAATAAACCCATGCGTAAAAAGTTGACAACAAACTTCGACAAGCCCTCCGGAGAATGAAAACTGTTTCTCTGAATGACTGACTGCCTATCCAAATGAGAAGTTGTGCAGAAAAAGAAATAAAGGAGTAATTTGAGGGGAGATTATATAAATATTACAGACAGAAAAGCGAGTAATAATGAAGTTTGCGAACTAGAGCCGTGTTGTGACAGATAAACAGCAAGTCGGCGTCATCATCTCCTAATTTCATTCCTTCATTTGGACAAACATAAGTAATATATAGCATTAATTACCCTATTTAGCAGATAGGAACCTCATTGGCTTTTTAAATGCTGCATTAAATACATAACTCATCTCTTCCCTCTGCAATTAACATCAGAACATCACACTCATTTCCATTTTAATGACTTCCCAACAATACGCCACCTTTGATGATAAGGCAACATAATGTCAACTTCATTCTGAGCTGGCAGTGAATGTGTAATGAACTTAACGTGATCATTAGTGCTGTTAATTATCTTTCTAATATGAGGACACAGATATGATTATGGAAACTGCATTCGCTGATGAAATAAATCTCTGGGAGGATTGCACTGAAGCTTGACTGAGGACACAGTCTGCCTATCTTTCTCTATATTCTCATTCATTACCTACAGTAGGCTTTAAAACTCTCTTTTTTTTTTTCTTCGTTCAATAAAAGTAGATATCTGAGACCCAGAAACTACGCTCAGTGCTCTGTAGAAATGCATTACTATGGATCCAGTGATTGAAAAGAGACTCCCCATAAGCTCATGACTTGCCCAATAAAGGTCATAAGTTGATGATCCGGAAATTAATTAAAGACTCACTTGTTTCTTCATGAGGATGGATGGAAAAATGAGCAGACTGGCTGACCATAGCTGACGATTTGAATAACATTTTTTCAA